TTACTACCCCAACTACCGTCTGTTTTTTAAAGAGATCCCATCCCCACTCTGTGTTCATTCTATGCGCATGGTATACAATATGGGTATCGATTCCCATTAAATCACATGTTTTAAGCTTGTTTTTGGCATTCACAACACTCTCCGACCTTTACTATCCTTACCACCCACCTTCTGAAGGGTGCACATTTCGCTGTCAAAAATAAGGCATTTTATACGGGGGTCTTCAGCTCCCGTTGGGAACCATAGCTGCCACTTACCAGAAGTCCCAACCATCCAAGCCCCCCCGTATGGTGTAAACGCCCCTGTAATTTATCAAAACATGTACCTGTGAAATTTTCTGCACATGGTTACCAAGCCAAATTTTTTAATGAAAACATCTGCAGTGGGACTCATAAAACTGTGGTATGGGAAAATGACTATTGGACTAAAGTTAGATTTTTAATTGTCCAATGAACATAAAACATAGCAAATGTGCAGTGTACATGTAGACCCTTTCGTTTCATAATTTGATATTCATGCAACGGTTAAAAACAATATTAAATTCAAAAGCAAAATTAAATGTCGTCTTCCTATTCCACAGTTTTGATATGGACAGTGAAAAGACTGTTTCAAACAAATATGAAAAAGATTTTAAAAATTAAATTTTAAATAAAAAATTAGTTTTTTTTCCTGAAGTGGAACTAAACCTTCTGTACAGCGTGAATCCCATGAAAAATGCTGAACAGATAAAATTTACTTTAGAATTTACAATTTACCTAGTGTCGGGATTATTTCAATTCAATGAAAACGACTTTTACATTGTACAGGTAAACAAAGAGATGCTGTTGATTGACAATTTTTCTGGTATAAGAAATTAACATTAAGATAGAAAGTCGTATTCATTTTATTAGTTTATGAACGACGATACAATTACATTTGTATCTACCTATACAAACTCCAAGTATAGACCCAATTATAATTATGATTGTCGGCTCTGTTCCCTCTAAGAATCTACACACCAATCTAGGCTACAGAGTGTCCCAATAAATATAGGAATTAAGTGACGATCTACATATCGTCTTTGTTCAATACGGCACTATTTTTTTAAGACAATATTAGAAGAATTCCAGTGAAATATTTAAAACTCGAAAACTGCTAGTCTCAGAATTTCCAAAATGTGGTAACAATTTTTAAACCTTCAAAGAAATTGAGTTTTTGCTACAAACTCTGATGATCTCTAAGTATGCAAAGCAAACTAATTCTATGTTTTCTTAGTACAGCATTTAGATGGATGAGTTCAATCTAAATAGTCAGGAACAGTCTCTTTTTAAATCTGCTCGGACCGACGCGCGTACAGAGAAGCGGACTGACGAGCGCGCAGCAAAAGACGAGGATCTGAAAAACAGAAGAAGAACTCACTCCCACTTTTACCACCGACTTATGAAGACCTTAATCTGTCGTGCGTCCTGAATTTTTAATATTATTTTTATTCAAGTTTATACATTTCAGAGTAAACTAAAATGAAGGTTTATCGACGTTATCACATTCAACGCGATGTTGTAAACTATGAATTCTTTTAGATGAAATAGTCTAAGTTTGAAAAAAGTTTACACCATCAGGTTCCAAAAATTGGGATTAGAAAATTTGAGTTTGTGGCAAAAAAATCAATTATTTTAAAGAAGAAATATATCCTGAAACCAATTTTTAAAAAATCAACAAAATTATTAAAATGTTTAAAAGCTCCGTTAAGTTTAAAGGTGCAAAGAGTGCGGCAGCTTTAATATGATCATTTTGAATAATATTTCGCATTATAGACTTAAATTCAGATATTTTAAATTTTAACAAATTCGTAGTTGATAAAGATTTAGAACTACTAGTTGATAAAAGAACTTTTTCATTCTATCCACCCTGTAAAATCAAATAAAAGAATAGTGCAGAAGAACGGAGACGTAGAATCGTTTTCTTATAAACTCTTTTTTAATGTAAATTAAATACAATACTGTCAGCGTAATTTCAAGTGACCCTCCATGCAAAGATGGCAATGTTCGATTGACAACGGAAGCCTTGAGGCTTGAAACTTTTATCTGGAATATATTCTAGTTTTTATATGTTTAAAAATGTTTAATTCTGATAGTTCTCATACGTTTTCCTGCAATAGAAATGCGCGAGTCACTTTTGTAGAAAAACCACAATTGAAAATAGTCAGTTTTCAAAAGTATCAACATTGATATCTAATTATCGGACAAAGCTGTTAAGGGCATGCATTGCATTGCAATCTTTGCATAGAGTGTCAATTGGATATACGCTAGCTGTCCCTTTTAATAAGATTTTTTTGTACAATTTTTTAGACTTTTGTTACCAGAGCACAACTAAACTCTGGCACAGACTCTTGATCGTTGATGTTGATATCGTTAATTCTGGGATTAAACGCCAGAGTATTATTAGTTTCATCCTCAACCTCTTCTTCAGTATTATCAAATAAGAATTGTTCACTTTCCATTCTTGTCTAGAATATTTAGGTTTTGTTAATAAAATAATAGATGTGGTTCTTTTTCTCTCAGCTCAAAGTTTGGCATCGATATGTGAAAAGCAAAAAAAAATGAAAAACAAGTTGTCCTTAAGGAATTAAGCTTTAGCCACAAGCTTAAACATTCTAACCCCTCTATCTTTGCACACATTTTAAATTAAAAGCATGTCAGGATTATCTATTTTTTATATATATTTCTTCAAACACAGAGAAAATTTAAGTCCAAAAACTAATTACAACATGTCGTGCCAAGATAGTGCTATGAGGTAATTTTATGAAATGTGTGTGTACTTGTCTTGATGCAATGCGGAGCAGAAATAAATAAAAAAAGTTAATTTCAATTTAATTTTCATGTAAATTGAAAAAATTAAAAATTATATTAGAGTTCCGGGAACCAATTGAAGTTTGTAGTAATGCACAGCTATGGAGTTGAGCCTTTGCCACAAACTCAAATTTTCTAATTTCTAATCCTTTAACATTATGACACGATCGGTGATTACTTTTTAGCGCGGTTATATCCGGATAAAGAGAAAAGTTGTGTCCAAAAACATTATAGCAATGCAAACCAAAATATTAGTTTTAGAAATAATTAAACATTTTTAGTGTTATTAACAGGGAATATGAATAAAGGGAAAGGAAATGGCGCTGGTCTGCCATGAGAAAGCCAGTCGCACTGCTTTGCAGACAAGTTCGGTATTCCTTACGTGTACTCTTTTGGTACAAACACACAACATGACTACAGTCAAGAAAATGGCAGAACAATGGCGTCAATTATAATTAAGTTTGAATAATGGCTAGTTTATTGTAAACTTTAATCAAATTATATGCTTTGCGTGAAAATTTGGCATATAGTGCTGACTTAAATGTATAAATAATATAACATGGTATATTAAATTTATTTTTAAGTAAACAATTAACAATAGACAATTGTACTCTCCTAGACTGTACAAATACCGAGATTCTTATGCACTGTATATACCTACAGTAGACACCTTAGGTTCGGTAAACCTTACAGACACTCTTTTGGTACAGACACACACACATGACGTTTCAACCCCCTGGTTATTGATTATTTACAATTACTTTACAGAGATGTTAAGGGAATTTTATTTTACTGAGAGTTTCCTTGACCAATTTTGACCAAAATTGGTCGAGGGAACCCGTGGTTCAGTAAAAACTTTAACTTCCCAAAAAAGTAGTTTTACTTGATTTTATCGTTTTTTTAGATGAAAATGCGCGAATTATTTCACGAAAATCTCACAGACCGGGTGGTTATTTTACTTAATTGTACCAAGGGACGTAAAGTAACTTAACGTCCCTATGTTAAGGGAAACATATGGTTGGTAATGTTGGTCAGACGGGGGTAAAAATGGTTAATTTTATCAAATAATATTTGTTTTCAGTTATATTATTGTTAATCAACTGATTCTTATCAAACTAAATATATTAAATATATATATTCTGCAATTTATTGATTCAGATTATATAATTATTATTCTTTTATTTTTAAAGAATATTTGGTTTTAGAGGGAAAAACAGTTTCACATTGACATAATGGACATGAAATCTTATTTTTTAACATATTTGAGATATAATGCAATGATTTTAGCATCTTTTTTAAATATCCACTTTTTAACCACCATTTTCTTATAACAGAATTACAATGTTGAATTTGTAGCGTTATCATTTTTTATTTTGTTCAACTTTTCTTTCTGATGTCAGCTTTATTTTCTGCCAGTTGAAATCCTGCAACAGAGAATAGTTGTTGTTAGTTTAAAGATTCTTTTATTAATTGGGATTTTCAAAGATATTTTTTCCATAATGCCATAATTTCTCGGTTAGGAAGTTTGAAGAGTATTGTTACGAATCGCTCTTGGATGCACTTACAACACGTTTGCTCACAAAATATTTCCGCCCCAAAATGCTTCCTGTCAGAAATAAAACTTTAATATTGTAAAATTTCAACTGGTTATGACCACATTTTTTTATCAAAAATATTATGTGACACGAAACGCTTAATTTAAGAAACCTTTTTTGATTTTTTCGTGGGAGGAGCTCTTTTTATTTCTTTAGCTGATAAACATTGCATATTTATAACTAGGACATTATTGAAAATTAACAAAAATAGAAATTATATTCCCAAGAAATATATCTCTACGCCATTTACAAATGGTCGATCTATGTCGACAGTTCCGCGACAGTTTCCTACAATTACTTCGATATCGAACCTCCTCTGAATTTCCGACAAAGTCATGGAAGCTCGACAATAAACGATTTTTCGAAAAAAGCTTCGCATTGCTTTTTATTGTTTGACATGTACTGTGGGACATTTGAAGAATCTCGAAAATTTATGTACGACAAATCTGCTATGTCGGCAAAATGTCCGAATATTAATTTAAAATAATTTAAATATAAGGATATCTAACGCTATTCAATTGACAAATTTTAAACGACAAATATTGTAGTACACACAATACCTATAATATTTCCATTTCCCACTATTGATGTTGTTTCTGTTGTAGTTGTAGTGACTGAGATTACAGTTGAAGCGGTTAAATTTGATAAATCTTTAAGTTTTTCCTTTTTCGCATTTTCTAGTTCTTCAACTGTTGGAGGTAAAAAATTTCTTGTAATTAAGTCCTTTTCAGATCCGTAGACTGGGAAAGGTGGAACGGGAGGAAACCCAGGAGAGCCATAGGGAGCACTGTAATCAACATGTGGTACTGGTCCATAGTTGGGGTTAGGAAAAGGGCCATAACTGGGACCATTGTATGGACCATAAATAGGTCTATGATAAGGAGGATAGAAAGGACCATGATAAGGTTTATGATAAGGACCATGAATGGGACCATAAGGTTGGCCATAATATGGATTCAAATTGTATTCAAAATCTGGAGGAAGAACCATATGACGGGATTGTGAAAAGGGAGATACTGCTCCTAAAAAATGCAATTCATATTAATTACTTTGCTTGACTGTCTCGTTGTTTGTTTGTTTGTCTGTCTGTTTGTATCCAATAAATGTAAAAACAGCTAGACCGATGAGGCCCAAAATTTGTGGATGCTTAAAATAACAAAAATGTGTATTCAATAGTAATTTTGATTTTTGTAAAATTTTGAAAATCAAAAAAATATTATTAAATCATCGAACTTTTTGTTTTAATTTTTTTTTAAAGAAAATGCTCAAATGGTCATTTTTTAAATTAAAAACAAATAAATCTTGTTAAAATAGATTTACCATCGTCAGCACACATGGCGTTCTGAAGATGGTCCGGATGGGTTACTCCGTGTGACATGCAGAACATGTTCCCAAATTCATCAGACAATGCTTGGCTGTCCTTCTAGATGCAAGGTGTTGTTATGCTAACTTTAAATATGGGAAACTGTAAACTGTAAATTGGAATCATTTTTGCTACTTTGTGACCTCGTAGCTCCTCTAGTTTTATTTAAAGTTTGATAAAAGTAAATATAATCGCGGTCACATATCAGAAATTGAAAACAATTTTGTTCTTCTAAATATCTTTTCAATAAGAGGTCTTATGATGGGAAACATCTAAGATGCTGAGGTCTTGCAGCAAACTCTGATCTTCTAATCCCTATTTCTTCCCAACCCAATGTCGTGGACCTTGGATATTTCAAACTATGGATTCTGCTAGATCAAATAGTAATAATATAGGCTTGAAATATCAAAAAAATATACCATCACAAGATTGCAAAGATATTGAGATTAGAAAATTTTATTTTGTGCCAAAAACTCACTTTTTTGCGAAGTTTTCAAAAACTTATAGAAATTAATACCTTGCACTTTTGGAATTCAGACAGATCAACATCCGGGCGAATAAAATACCGTCTATCAGCCCACGTGATTTCAGAGCAGGCCGCGTTAAAATCTATCCAGGACAGGAACAGAACAGCGCAGACCCAACCTGCTTAGAAATATTAAGCTTTATCACAATATTTAAAAGATGATGCTTGTTGATTGATATATATAAATATATATATAAACCAAAGTGAGCAGTGTACAGTGAGAAGCAGAAAACAGTGCAATAAGAAGACGATTCAACGCAATAAATAAGTGTAATTGATAATGTTAAAAGCAAATAGTAACTTATACTAAGTTAGCAGTAACTTATTAAATCACTTTTTAAGTTAAATGGGTCTCATGGTAATTGGACTATCTAAAGTCATATACTGGAGTATAAAAGTCGTCTTCCTGTTTAAAAGTTTTCTGGTTCTCCTTGTATATATACGTAAGTATGTTTGGCCTGAGCTGAAATCTTTAGAATGGGATACCTTTAATCCCTACTGCTTAATCCAAATATCCAATGCTTAATCCACTCTTTTTTGGATAAAGTATAGAAAAATCAAAAACCCGGTTTTTCAAAATTAGAGAGTCCCTCCCGTTTCTGTATATTAATCTTAAACGCAAAATTTCGAATTTCCCGGCTTTTAATACGCGACTCTGAATTTTATATACTTTTCAGGATTCAAGTACAATATTAGGTTAGTCTCGAGATTAAGAAAAAGAAAGGATCAAGCATTGATCTTGATATCCACCATTCTGCAGCTCTGAGCTGAGAACTTTAGAATGGGATATCCTTAATCCCGATGGATTAATTAATCTGGAGATTAATAACAAGAGGAGAACAAGCATTATTCAATCTCGAGATTAAGAAAAAGAGTGGATCAAGCATTAATCCCGATATCCACCATTCAAAAGTTCCCAGCTCAGGCATAAATGTGTTTAT